CTACGGCACGAGAAGTGCAAAAACGCATAATCGCACCGGCCCCCCTGGTGCGTTCCAGCCTGGGTTGTGTCAATGACGGAATGCACATTGACGAGTGGTAATCAATATGTATGCACGTGTGTATGTATGTATGCGTTAGGATCCCGTTATTAACACTGAACTTAGCAGCCACAGGAGGTAGAGAGCTCAAATTTTACGAAAATTTTTTCGGTCTATGTGCCACTTTGAAGCAATTCAGCCTTGATGCAGGCCCAGATGCACAAGAAAAAGTTCAATTTGGGATATCGTTTGCACATTTCAATTCGAGGATTTCAAGAGCAGTGATTAAGCAGAAAGCTGTGATTTTACAAGTATTTTACACTCCTATCTACGATTTCACCTCGCACGTCTTCCTATGTCTCGCTTACGATTAAGGCAAATTTCAGACAGTAAAATCATCAGCAGCCTCCTCTCACAGCATTCACACATGCCATAAAACTGAAATTTCACGAAGTTCCACAGCACAAGGTCACCAGCTCAGCCAATGACTCACTTCTCCGAACACAGAACAATAGACTAAAAACATTTTCAACATGAGTGCATAAATTAAGCTGCGGTGCAATGAACATTCTTACTGCAACAACCACATCGCTGGAAGAAACCGCAAAATGCACCGTCGCCCCAGCAACTTCGGTGTGTGGTGTTAATTATTTTGCAGTATGAAAACACCACCGTAAGCTGAATAGGATTTTAAAATTCGGAGGTGCTGCATGACTTACTGGGTCATCAACCGTTTCGCTTAGTGCCACTGGGTAAGTTAGTTCATGAAAAACCTAGGCTGGAACGCACCAGGCGAGTCGGTGCGATCATGTGTTTTTGCATCAAACTTGATGTAATTAAATCAACTGCATGAAAGGTTGTTTCTTCACACCTACCTTGTGCGCTCAATACCGTAAATCGTAAATTTTGCATAAAAGGAAATAAACAATTTCCATTTAGCGGTCGTTTTTTTTTTTTTTTTGAAAATAACTCAGCTGTTCAATGAGTAATTTCTCCGCCAAAAATTTCAGTACCCCTTCACGAGAACCATGCATAGATGGAGGCTGAATTTGAAACCTTTATGTTGTATTTGGACGGGAAATATTCTACTAAAATCTCAGCTTTCCAGCTTTTCTGGTTTCCGAGTTAGCCATTTCCCATCAAAAAAGTTTCACGGGGCGTACGTAAGAACCGCATGTCTGGGCGCTGAATTTGATAACTTAAGTCGTATGTGGGCTGGGAACATCCCCTGAGAATTTTAGCCTCCCAGCTTTGCTAGTTCCGGACTTGGCCATTTTCGTGCCCAAAAATTTCACGGGATCGTTTGTGAAAACTAGATGTGACTGGGGGCTGAATTTGATAGGTTTATGTTGTACTTACGCTAGGAACATCCCTTGGAAATTTCAGCCTCTCAGCTCTGCTAGTTCCCGAGTTGGCCATTTCGCGCCAAAAAAGCAATAGCTTCACTTTGATAGATAAGGCGTTTCTACGAATCTTGAGTTGGTGACGAAAAGTTTGTCACACACTTTATCACCAAAAATCACAGAAGTATGGCATGAAGCTGTTTGCTGTCTTTGGCTAAGCACTGTCAATAATAGACGAATTTAATATTTCACATTAAGAAAATATACCGAAAGAAGTCCACGACCTTCGCCTTTTTCGACTTCGATCTACAAAATAAAATATTTTTACACTTGAGCTTTTAAAATTAGGCACTTTCTTGAAAGCGCAGTACTCCTTTCATGCTCAATCCCCACCACCTCTAAAACGAAACTCTTTATGTATGAATGCATGATGCATCTGTTTTTGAATGCGCACGCCCGCCTACTTATCCACTGGCCAGATATTTTTATTCCAGAACTACGAATGTGAGGAGAAAGAAATTCTATTGACAAAATCTTTGCGCATTTACGAAGTACAGCCGCAGCCTCATCAGTTGAAAAACAACCCTACACCCAGTCGTTCTTTCAAGTTAAAGTTCATGAGCTCAATGTGGCCTAAAACTCAGCTGACGGGCAAACTTGACATAAACAATTTTTATGCGTTTTTGCATATATGCAAATGCAAAAACGCATATTGTGACGACCCGGCTTGTGTATGTGTGTGTGTGTGTATGCGTGTGTGTGTGCGTCCGTTCGGGTATTTCAATTCGGCAGCCAAACAAGCTGGGGCGTTAAAATTTTGCCAGTAGGTTCCCCAGCCAAGTGCCACCCCAGACCGCGGTACCAACCTTCCCCTCCCCCCACCCCTCCTCTCCCCATTGACGTGTGGGCACGTCTAAAGCCTGCGCAAGAGCGCGTGAAAGTTTTGGCGGGGAAGTCGCTAACTCTGGAACCAGAAATGCTAGAAAGCTGCAATTTTAACAAAATGTTCCCTTTCCAAATAGACGTAATAGTTGTACGATCAACTTTCTGAAGTTCGAGGACCAGTACGTCATAAATTCTAACTACTGTGATTCCAAGCGATCTTACAACAGCACGAAATGCTGCAAAAACGCATGATCCCGCGGGTCCGCTCGGTGCGCGTCGCCAATGATTTATCTTGGTTACTGTAGGAATCATAACATGCCTGGAAAACTTTGTCGAGTTGTACGAATATAACATGAACTGAAGCGCCAGCGCTGAATCCAGAAATAAGCTGATCGGACATGTACGAAGCAATAAACTCTACATGTAGCAGTGCTAACATCAACTGCAACGGTAAATCAAAGCTTCGCTTATTTGCTTGTTTATTGGTGCTGTTGTAACGAAGCAACCCAGAACAAAAAATCCCGGCATGGCTGAACTCAGCATTGTCTGCATCAATATTAACAGGTCTACATCACTAGTGTAAATTTTATTCTGTGCTTCAGCACTTTGGTCAGCTATTGTTCTGACGCTGTGAGAAAATAAGCGACTGCTTGAGCGACCTTTGATGAGCGGCACACGACACAAGATACGCGATAGGTGGTGATTGGAAATCCCTAGCTCAGGATCGAAAGACACAGCTGCTCCCACCTCCTCAGTAGCACCATTAACATGGGGTCATCTCAGAGCGACTCTCCAGGGAGTCATCTTTTTCTTGACAACAAAAAAACAAATGAGCAGGTGGCGACAGTATAGTGAAACCCTAGGCACTCAGTTTGCGTAATTGTGCGTTGCAATGTGAAATTTTGTGTTTGAGGATCTGATTTTTTCCGCCGTCCGGGAAATTTTAAACTTTTTTGGTTGATTTCTTTGTCTCTAAACAAAACATTCTGTCCTTCTGGCCGACTTTTGCATACATTCCGCTGATACTGGCTGCTCTCGAACCCTGTTTTCGCATTTCCCTGGATGACCAATTTTCGATCCTGTAAAATTAAAAAAGCTGATTGTCTTCGAGTTATTCGGAATGATCACTGAAGTGTTTACTTTTTATTCCTATTGGCAAAAACTAGTTCAATAAGCGATTCATTTGTTACCTGTACTACACCGATGCAGAATGTGAGCGCCGTAACCACTTGTATGCTGGATACATTGCCAAGATTGAATGGTACTTCTGTTGAGAGATTTTTAAAATTAATTGATTTTAGGCCCATTTCTACGGCACTTTCAATATAAAAACCACGTTGTTGCAAGAACTGAGTATAAATTGCCTTTAAAATTCGTACCCGCGATGTACCAGTCATCAGACTTATCACAGCAAATGAGCCTGAAAGCTGGAACTTAGGAGGTGCTTTTAGCCTTGTTCATTCCCTGTTTTTCACACGATTTCCGTTTTCCAATTATTGGTGTTACAACCCACCACAACTAAAACGGGTATGCGGTACAGTTACATGCAAAATGCAGGAAGAGCTCAGTGCGCGAATTAAAGAGGTAGACAAAGCGTGACTGTTGCTGGAAGAAGGATAGAGGAAAAGGCACTGAATGCGGGTAAAGAAAAAGAGATAAAGTGAGGAATGTTCGAATTATCTTTCCACAGCTAGACGAGAAACGCAAGACTAAACCAATACCGAAGAAAGCGTCGCCCTCCCGAAAGAAAACAAAAATCAGTGGTCAGTAGAAGTTGCGTTTTGCTGACAAACGGTGTTCGTCAAGCCATCGAGAAGTGTCATCAATAGATGTGGTAATTCTGACAACTTGCGATGAAATGGTATGCATTTAGTGGGGTCAGCAGACACACATTAGAAATATAGTGCCAAGATAAAATGTTCCATTGTCGGACATTACCAGCATTAGGCTATATTTTGGCAATTTTATGCACTTCATACTAATTACTTCGACGATTTAGTATGATCGTGTCCTACCATATCAAATGCCGTGAAACAAATGAACTCTGTCTTCCTTAATAAATTTATTTTTAAAAATAAATCCTAACCAGGGTATTAACATTAAAAGTCCAAAAACTAACCGATGGATACATGTTTTGAAGTGCCGAATAACATGTATACTAGAACGGGGAAAAACGACGAATACAAGCCATAAATTGGATCTACTCCGACCAGAAATGAATAAGCAATTCCTGGAATTGCTCAGAAGCACTATAACTTCATAACGAAATTAGTTAAATGCACAAGCAGATCCCTCCTTTAAAAAAAAAGACATTCGGTTGTGCCTGAAAAGAGAGCTTGTTCTTCCAGGAGCATAGAGGCAGTTGTGCGAAGATTGTCTTTCCACAAAATCGCACGAGCGCGCAGGAACCGTCTTGATGTGTGCCTTTATTTTAATGCGCTTTTACATAATTTCTAGATGAGTATCATGTCTTAATTGCGAAGAGTCAAGAATATCACTGGCGACGCGCACCGGGCTGGTCTGTGCGATCATGTGTTTTTGCAATATTTCATGCTGCTGCAAGATCGCTTGCAGTCCCAGTAGCTAGAATTTACGGCATATTGGTTCTCAAAGTTTAAGAAATTAATTGTGCAACTACATGGTACTTGGTTAGAATACATCCCCTCAAAGTCTCAGTTTTCTAGCTCTGGCTTCCAAGTTGGCAATTTTCCCGCCGAAAAAGTTCGCGAGGCCAAACGTGAGAACCACGCGTATCGGGCGGCTGAATTTCAAATCTTCGAGTTTCAAATAGACGGGGAGCATAATCCCAAAATTCCAGCTTTCTAGCTTTTCTTCTTACTGAGTTGGTGAATATCTCGCCAAAAATTTCACGCGCTTGCATAACGCAGAGTCCAGGCGTGAGTGAGGGTTTGTACCGCGATCTTGGGGAGAGGAGGGCACTTGGCCAGGGAACTTACTAGTAAAATTTTAGCGCCTGAGCTTGCCTGGTTGCCGAGCTGAAATACCTGGACAGATGCACACACACGCGAACAAACACAACCGAGGTCGTCACAATATGCGTTTTTGCATTTGCACATAAGCGAAAACGCACAATGAGGAACATAATGTGAGTGACATAAGACCAAATTTTTAATCCCAGAATGCCTCGATCCCAAACGAAAGCTAATTTTGTGACTGCAGAGCGCGTGTGAATTCACAGGCTTGAATTTTAGTGCATTTTCAGTAATAAATGGGTTAGACGATTATCATTTACAGCAACTTGCTGAATGCACAGGAGCAGCTGCCTACTTCGCGCCCAAAAAATTCATAAAAACGAAAGAATGCATCTGTCACTCCAGTCAGAGTTTCAACACCTGAATCAGCTTTGTGCCAGTTAAATCACCATACAGGATATGATGAATTTAGGGAAAATGAAAGATTTATTTTAGGAAAGTTGCTTCACCTTGAGGGACGTGCATGATTCCAACCGTGACGCCTGCTACGAAATCACCAAAGATGTACTGACGCCAGCGATATTGCTTTATGGTTGCCAAAATCGGAACAAACGAGAATATAAACTGGATGAATTGTTTTGGGCTCATAAATGGGTTTAACAGACGGATTAAAAATTTCTTTTTTTTATGACGCACATTTGGTGGCGGGTAAAATACATAAAGTTCATCGAATTCTTCCTGAAAACTTATAATGTGGAAATTGGCTTATCTGAATGAGCAGCGTTTTGCCGCCCATATTACTGCAAAAATAGACCAAAATATTCACTATGGGAAGAAAAATGGATCAAACTGGATCAGTCGTTCCAAAATCCAGTCAGAGAAAAGTGTTCATTAAAAGACTGGAATAACTGTGCGAAAAAAAAAAAAAAAACAGTAAGTGGGCGCACAAACAGTTAAACTTATGTCTAAATTGTTACAATTACAGTTCCGCAAGAGAAAATCAGTGGAATGTTATTTTTGCTGGAAAAGCATGAATTTAAATACTGCGGGCCACGATCCAGACATGCTGTCGAAAATCTCAGATGTTCCGCTAGAATGCATCGTATAGTGCGCGCGCATTTGTGTTTAGTGCTTAGCTGCATTACTATCCGCTAGTGAGGCTAACAGCAACTGGAACCATCGAAGCTCAAATGGATAAAATAGATACAGTGTCGTCTTGATGTGCTATAAAGTGCCAGGGCTCACGCCTCGCCTTGTCCGTTGTGATTCCCACATACAGTGTGGTGTTTAGGCGCAGTGACTTAGTTTACTTCCAAGATACTTGTGGCGGAATGGCTATTTCGTTTGCCGGAGAAGCTGCAAAGCTGAAACTTTACAAGGATATTTTACACTAAGGTGTAGTCGTAATTCAGTTTGGAGATGAAATTCCCTGCACGCAGACTCAATTCCATCGCAAACTCAGAAGCGAGTGCATTTTACGGATTCATAATTTCCTTTCTATTTCCTTCAGATTTGCATTTTTCAGTGAATAAGCATTCAATGGAAAAATGACTGGGCCTCATGCAAAGCCAGACTGGAAAGCACACTAGGCAGGCCGACGCAATCATGCATTTTTGTACTATTTCGCGCTGTAGCGAGATCGCAAGGAACCACAATAGACAGAATTTGTGACGTAATGGCCCTTGAAGTCCAAGTAGTTAACTGTGAAGCTACGTGGCATGTCAGTTGTAGACGTCGGCTTCAGTGGCTCAAGAAACAAAAAATTGCTAGTGCGGGAAAAAGACCCCACTAGAAAAGTTGAATTTGAAATCTTTTAGTCGCACATGGGTAAGGAACATTTCCTTAAAATTCCAGTCTACCAGTTCTTATTGTTCCCGAATTAGTAATTCTCCAGCGAAAATGTTCACGTGGTCGTACGTGAAACACGGGCGGCTCTGAGGAACTGAATTTGAAGTCTTTTAGTCGTACATGAGTAGTAAAAAGTGCCCATAAGTTTCAGCTTTATAGCTTTTCTTGTTCCTGAGTTAGCAATTTTCCTGCCAAAATTTTCACGCACTCACATGCGGAGCTCAGATGCGCGTGAGGGTTGGTATTGCGACCCTGGGGAGGCAACTGACCAGGAACCAACTGGCAAAATTTTGGCGCCGGAGATTGCTTGGATGTCGAGTTGAAATACCCGGACAGACGAACTCATGCATAAACACAAGCGTATACACAGACACACACACACACACAAGGATAGGGTCGTTGCAGTACGCGTTTTTGCAATTTGCATAAGCAAAAACGAATACCCAGGCTGGAACGCACCAGGCGAGCCGGTGCGATCATGCGTTTTTGCACAAAACTTGAATTG